CCAGAGCACGTAATCGCCGAACGTGAATTCCCTTTCGGAGAAATAGACCATAGCTTACTACCGGACGTGCAAATTACAAGACGCCGCGCATATTTACCCTCACACGGTACCGTTAGCGACGTCTCGCAAAGAGGAGATTTCTCCTTAACTTCTTACGATAGTAGTGTATTCGATCCATTTGACGAAATGGCCACCGGGCAACGCGACGAAACCCTACACGCGGCGGAGAACGGAAGAGATCAGGAAATCTCTCGCCCCCGCGGGGCTCAACTACGAGAAGAGCCGTTGAGCGAAGTAAACGATCCTCAACCAGGACTCAGCAGAATTCGACGCGACGTTGACGTATACAATAATGCTAATGAGCAGTTATTAGCGCGTATAGAGGACTTGCGCGATACTATATATACGAATGCAGCCTTACTAACTAACTCTCGCATAGACGACCCGCAAAATGTAAGAAACATTAACGTAGATACTGAACGATACCCTCCAGACAGACGAGGACAAGGTCACAGTGACCAATTTCCAGACGGGTTACCCCCGCTTAGCGAGGATCGATCCCGACGCATCAGGGAAGCGCGAGATCAGATCCCCATATTTAATGGCACGCAGGATGATAAATTAATAGAATTCCTAACGGCGTGTGAATACGCGTTTGAGCTAATACATCCTGCTGACGAATCTACATTAATTCGAGCAGTAATCTGCACCAAGCTAAAGGGAATCGCCCTAACAGAGGTAAAAAACCGAAACATTCACACTTTTGCTGTCCTAAGGGGTGTGTTAGAAAGATGTTTCATGAAAAAGAAATCAATAACTCGACTACTTCGAGACTTTAATAATTTGCATCAAAAACCTGGAGAAGATTACGGAAACCGTGTAGAATCTTTAACCACGGATCTATTCGAGGCCGGAACGGAAGGGGATCTCTACTCCCCCACGCAGAAACTTGGCATTCATTTTTTCTTGAAATCGTTAGCCCTAATCAACTATCAACTAGGACTAAACGACAGGCTACAAACAATAGTCCGGTCCCGTGCACCCGCGACTTTAGCCGAGGCAATAGCAGGGGCAATTGAAGAAGAAAGAATTAAAGGAACCCTGGAGATTCCTGCACGCACCTACGAAATAAATCGGTATAACCGAGGATCTCTCGCGAACACTAAACGAGATGTTCCCATAATACAATGCCAAAAGTGCGGAAAATTAGGGCATCAGGGACGCGAATGCCGTAGCAGTCGATATGGAAATCGGTTCGTTCTGCCTAAACCAGCAGTAACCTCTCGCGTGAATGCAACCGACACATGGTGCACACGATGCAAGAAAAACGGACACACTCGCGATAGCTGCTGGTACATACACGGGAAGCCGACCGAGACACGGGACACCGCGCGTGACTACCGTAGACCCTCGCGGCCAGTGACTATCAC